CCCCAAAACCCCAAAACCCCAAAACCCCTATAGGGAAAATCTATATTGAAATTAATGTAACAGATTATAATTCAAAAAATCAATTTCTCATATTAAATCTTACATATTAAATGGAGTTTGCATTTGACTGTTAAGTCTTGTTAAATCCTGATTCAGTTGGAATGGTCATCTTAGACTCTGCCAAAGATAGACCATTAGGCCGTGTAACTGCTAAAATCTAGCAAGTCTATGATATTATTGATAAAATGGGCATTGCAAGTGCCAAGGTACATATAAATTCGATTCCTCATATTTTTACAGGCATAAAAATTAGGTGGAGTCATTACTTCAGCTCAGAAGTTCTTCTAATAGGATGATAATAAGTTATATGTTATGATTGAAGGGAAGACCTGTCAAGGCATACTTAAAGTTGGTAAGAAAAACCTGTTCATTAGAAATGAATCTGGCTAAATGACAGAAATCAAGCCTCTGTGTGTGCTTGATTTCTATGTCCATGAATCTATGTAAAGGAATGGAATCGGAAAGGTATGTTTAAACCACAATAAATTCTATTCATATATTTTACTAATAATCCTTTATTTATTTATGCTATTTTAGTAACTGTTTGAAAGAATGCTATAAGTTGAGAAGGTCAATCCTCAAAGACTTGGATATGATAGACCCTCTGAGAAGTTGCTAAGCTTTTTGGCTAAACACTATCACTTGAAGAGATATGTCCCTCAAGCTAATAATTTTGTTGTATATTCATAGTACTTTGACCCACAAGTTTCAACAAAGTCTAGCACAAATAATAACATTCAAAATAATAATGGTATTATTGGGTAGAACAAGAATTCTCAGAATAATAGCCAATGGTAATAAAATGAAGAATATGGGTCAACAGGAACAACAGGTAATAAGAAATTGCAACAGGCTAGAAGTTAATAGAATTCTACATATTCATCGCCAAGCACTAGTAGTTATGGAATGAACTCTAATAGCTCAAGAGTTAATAGATAGATTGATTAGAGGCCATTTGAAAAGAAATCAAAAGAAGACTTAATCAAGGAGGTTGTAGAGAAATTTGCTAAGATTGATGTAGATGAAGATTACGGCAGGGAAGAGGAAAAGTACTCTAAATTTCAAAAGACAACAGACTTTAAAAGTGCAAAAAAGGAATCACTCTCAACTTGTTCAAACAGCAGTTCAGAGGAGAACTAATGGAAATTCTAATCATAGACCCAGTATAATAATAGACAAAATTATGTTGACAATAGAGGTCAAAACTCTGGCAACAAGAATAGCTCTTATGGAATGTCCTCGATATTTGGAGGTGGCTATGAAGATAACAGAGCAGGCAATTCAAAAGCATTTGACTATTATTCTCGCAAATATTGAGTAGTCTCATCTAGAGTCCTAGAAAAATTATAAGGCTGAATCAAATGCAGTGATAATTATTACTAGAGTGAAAATTCATATATCTATGATCTCCTCTACATATGTATTTATTAAGTTTAATCATTAAATCAAACTTATTTTGAGGATATGTTAAGTAAAGAATTATAGTTTATGAATTAATTATTTATATCTGGGTCATTTCAACTGTATAACTTTAAAAATTCATCTTTCTTCTCTAATAGGAACACTTTCATTTGCTCGAAATCGATGCTTGGATTGATAATTTGCATTTTTATCTGCTCATCTATAATGAATTTAATGGCTTTACCTGGTTTGATCTCATAAATGCCGCAGATATCTTTGCCGTCTAATAGTGACTTTACTAAATGAACATTTTTCAAGTTCTCTTGAATGATAATTTAGTTGAGATGGGTGTACTTGCTAACTAAAGATTCTAACTTTTCTTCATCTAGTATATTTCTAAAATCAGAAATAGGGTCCTGTTCACTAGATTAAGCCAGATACTAATCGTAATAATCATTTGCAAGGGCTAACAGAACAATAGAATCCCATCTCGGTCCAGCTTCTCTCAAGAACTGTCCTAGTTATAATTTCTATTCATCATTTAGTGATTCTAGGTTTTGAGTTTTATTAGCAAATAGGATAGCTTTCTCCACGTAAGGAATAGTTGTTTATACAAATTTCATAACATCATTTGACTTTTTAAGAGAGTCAGCCATTACCTTATTTATCACCTTATCCTTTTTATTTTTTGCCATGTATTCAAACGAAGCAAAAGGCAATAATAGTGCTGTGTAAAAGGTATTCTTTTAGAATTCTCTGAAGTTTTCAAAAATTGATTCATCACCCTCTTTGCTGATAATAAAATCTAGTCCACAGTAATTCACTGTACCTACATCAATTTTTTATCTAAGCTGTAAAAACAAGACACCTAGTGCTTAAGAAATCTTAACTGATCTTAAAATCAAATCATTAACTAATTTCTAATCTTGCAATTCTGAAATTTTAGTTAGTCATAATTTATTACCTAGACAATGAGTAGGAAACTTATAGAGATGTTGAATAATTCCAAATTTATACATATACTCTATTGAATTGGCTGGGTATCTGTCAAGCAACATCAAATCCATTTCCTTTCCTAATCTTTCATAAGTTACTTTTTGGACAAAAGCCTCCTGAATTAAAAGTTAATTCAAAAGTGACTTACCAAAACCTTGCTATTTCTGGCTGCTTCATAAATCTCTTCAAGTATTTTAAAATCAAATCTGGTGGCGAATCTGATAGTTCTCATAACTCTCAAAGGATCATCAAGGAATGTTTGGAGAGGATCTAATGGAGTTCTTATAATACCATCTTTCAAGTCCTGGATGCCTCTCTATGTAAAGTCTTCAACAATACCTTCATTGATATTGTAAAACAGAGAGTTTATGGTAAGATCTCTTCTAAAAGCATCCTCCTCTGGAGTTCCTATATCTATAGTTGGAACCCTTGAATCATCAGTGTACTTCTCTGACCTTAAGTTAACAAGATCAATCATCATGCCATGTATTCTCATTGTTGCAGTCTCAAGATGCTTACTTTTCTCAGAATTAGATTTAATTACTCCAAATTTTTTAGATCCATCAGGGTGGAGCTTTTCATTAAGCATCTTAGCAAATTCCTCACCAAACATGTCATCCATAGCAATATCTATATCTTGACTCTCTTTCCCCATTATCTAAAATCATTATTGATTCAAACCAATCAACACAAATAAGTACATTCATTTAATGTACGCTAGTATTTATAATTTAACCACTTACCTTATCTCTAACCCAACCTCCTGCTACTCTTAGTGTAGTTTTCAGTTAATGCTCCTTAATTGTCTCAAGAAGAGTTTGAAAGATTTTCTTCTCGAGACCTGTGAGTTTGATATTAGAATCAACAGTGTAGTTTTTAATATCTTTGTTTGTTGCTTCCATTAATTTTTCCCTAATCAAATTAAATTAAATTTATATGTCTAATCCTACCAATAATTTCACTAGAAATTGATAACTTGATTAGAGAAGCTAAATTTATTAAATGTGCTAAAGTATAATAGTCTTTCTTTAGATTTTGATAATTATACTGATGTTTTAAAGCCATATCTACGGCTTTGCTTGAGGATTTGAAACATTATATATTTTAATTATCACATAATTATTCGCTAACTTGCTCTTATGGGGTTTTGGGGTTTTGGGGTTTTGGGG